CCCCAAAACCCCAAAACCCCAAAACCCCAAAACCCCAGTAGGAAATCCTTGGTTGAAGAAACTTATTGAATTAAACATTTGTCTTCGCTTTTTGTCAGAATCTTCTCTTTTAGTGGAATTGAGTGCTCAGATTTGAGAACGCAATCTCTAGAGTCGTCACTAGTGAAGTCAAGCATGGAGATAATCACGTCGTAGAGGGAATAGGTTTCTAGCCATTCTATAACTTGGGTCTCGGTCAATGAGGTTTTGCTTAAGTAGATCCTATTCAGAGAGTTCTTTAACCCTCAAGTTGAGATTGTTTTGATTAAGGCTTCTACCAGTTTGGGATCATTCCCCCAGTTCTCACTGAACCATCCACTTCATTCTTTGAAGTATAGAAATAGTGTTTGAAATTTAAAACTATCGAGTGGCTTTATTTCGGTAGTATCAATTTGGCATTTCTTAAACATTATCATCCTTGTGTTCCTTGAGAAAACAAAGATCTTTCTCAGATGGTAGTTTCTGATGTAGCACTTTTCAATTTTGAGTCTATTGATAACAAATGGCGTTAGTCTGATGCCTTTGAACAAGTATTTATCATTCAAATGTGAATAACTAAGACAAGGTGAACTGAAATCAAGTTCCACAATTTCACGGGGTTTTACCATCTTTATCAACTCCATATATTTTCCCCCATTTTTCAAGTTAAAATGATTTGCATTAAGATTTGCCAATTCGCCTCCTTTTGTATAATACTTCATTAACTTCTTAACCACTCTTAACGAAATCCTCCTTTTCGGAAGTACACTTACTATAACACCAGGCTGTCTAACTTCTATAACTCACAATAAACTCTACCCTCCATAAAATCCCCTCCCAACCCAAAATTCCCCCAGAACACCTCTTACCAGCCAAAGATGCTAAAAACTCTTCCACAATGGCATCAACCTGCCTTGCCCACTTCCTTTCCCTCTGCAACATCCTAATTTCCCTTCATCTCCTTAAATACAACTTTGCATCTTTCATTTTTATTTCAATATCCACTACTAATCCAGGGGTTTTGGGGTTTTGGGGTTTTGGGG